AAAAACACTTGATTGCACAATATAATTTAATCTCTAGAGCGCTTTTACTATGTAGATTGTATCAAAGCAACTTAACATATCTTCTAGTAAATGAAAATTGAATTGGTCTAGTTTTCAGAGTTGAATTTCAGTTTAGTTAATTTTAGTGTAGTTTAGCACTGAAGAGCAAATCCATTGATGCGCAGCTCCACAAGTTCCAAAACCAAGCAAGCTAGTGGTGACAGTGACCAGGAGCAAAACTTCACCAATTGACGGAAGTAAAAAAAAAAAAAAAAACTCAAGAGAAGCCAGGTTCAGGTGGGCATGACTATTTCTCCTCTAACCAAACCTCCTGTGCAGAGCTGCAGGAGAATTAAATGGATACTTGAAATATCCCTTTAATCCCCCACTTAAAGTGTTTCCAACCGTTTATTTCCTTTGTCTGTTGAACACAAAAGAAGATTGAGGAATGTTTGAAACCTGTAACCATTGATGTCCATAGAAGGAAAACAAATACTATGGAAGTCAACTCCTGCTTTTTAACATTTTTTCAACAAAATAACAAAATAATATACAGTAAAATATGATAAATAACATTCATTCGTTTTCTTTTCGGCTTAGTGCCTTTATGATAAATAATAGAATTTTCGATTTTGGTAGAAAAATGACATTAATTATGCTTTACATTCAATAATAATTTATGATGACCTCAGTAAACATTGTAAATGTGTTTACAAAACACAGATCGAGTGATCACATGGCACATAGTACATTTCAGTGAGTTTTAACATATTTCAATATACTTTCTGATTTTCAATCAAATGAGGGGCTTTTCCACACTGTATCTTTCCCAGATGTGGGAAAGACAGTGAAGGTGGACTCATTCGAGCACAATTCATGTTTCACATTGTCCACATCCCAAGATTTTTGCTGCCGGCACCATTAAAATCAACATTTGTCATTGGCACTTGTAACCAAAGGTTTTAACGAGACAGTTGAGGTGCACATTTAATCCTGCAATTAGTTGAAAAGCTGATATTTGGAGTTACCACCCGTTTTTAGGCTAGAACCCGGGTTGCTACCTATTAATGCTAATTAAACCTTCACATTCTGCTCTTACTGGTGGAACATGCAATGAATGAAGACCAGGCTGGTCAAATTTAGCCATAATACCTCCAACACTAAATTGGCCAGTGTTTCATTTTTTTTGTCCAACCCCTGTACATCTCTGCTTTTCTCTGATGATGTTTAAAGGCAAGATCACTCTGTAAAGGAATAGTTTACCTGAAAACAATTAAATTTAATATTACTCACTTTACTCTCCCCCACTTTTATAAGGTTCTTACTTCTGTTGAACACAAAAAAAAAAAAACATTCTGATGAAAGCTGAAACTAAAAGTAAATGATGAAAATGACAGAATTTTCATTTTTGGGTGAACTGTCGCTTAACTGTCATGTGTAATTAAAATAAAGTCTTTGTTTTGGTATGTTAGTTTTAAGGACATCTATAAGCTAGTGTGCTTTAAAACAGTGACAAATTTTAGAAGCTATAACAAACCTGATATAAACACCCAAAGCTTGCAGTTTTTTATTTTTATTCCTCCTGAACACCAGAGGTGGTGTTTACATAATGGATAATAGCAGTGGCAGCTGGATAGGTGGAGGAACAATATACCTAGAAAGTTGCACTGTGGCATGAGTTGAGCTGAAGTATATTATCTGCAGCAGCTCAGCGTCCTGCCTTTTTTTTTCTTTTTTTTTTTTCTCTGGATTTTATTTTTAGGACTATTAGAATAGTCTAGTGCAGCTTCCTAGGAGCAGAACTTTTTTGTCCTCCTGAGCTGTGATGATTTTCCGACATTTTTGTATTTCGGATTGTGCTTTCCAAGTGATTTAACTATCTAGGATCGTTCACTCATAAAATTAATTTACATTGTGGGTTGTGGGTAATAATTTTTTTATTATCTTAAACTCCGCTGTTATTATTACCTTGCTGTGTGATCCAGAGGCTAGACAGTGTGCTACTGTAGGCATCTGAGTTATATCAGGTGTTGGACCTCATGCTACAGTTACATTACTATTTGAGTTGTAATTACCAGTGTTATCCAGAGGTTATACACTGAATTGTGGTTCGTGTTTGGGTGGTAATTACCTCGCGGTGCTATCCGGAGGTTAGCCATTTTTTCTCTAAGAATAATTTTGTGTTTCTTCACTGCTGTTATTTGAACTGTTTTTTCTGTTCTGTCCAGTGATCCTAATGGTCCCTAAGTGGTCCCAGATGGTTATTAAATAATTTTTATTCAGTAATTGGTTTTTTCTCAATACTCCCATTCTATTGTGTGGTTCAAACTTTGTCTTTGTCACATTATTTTTTCTCGCGCTCCATATCACTAGCCATTTTGTTTCGTTTATCAGTTTTTCAGTTTTCTCTCACGGTTCACCCAGAGGCAGGAAACATTCCTCGTGGTTCTAACCAGAGGTCATCTGATTACATTTATTCATGGCTTATCACTTAATTTCCACAGCTTTCCCAATTACCTGCATGTTCTATCCTAATAAGTTTCTTCCAGATGACACACACAATATCTGCTTGTCATGCCTCTGTTCAGCATTTAAAAGAAGTGCTCACTGATTCATGCCCCCACTGTAGTCTACTGTCCTTATCAGAGAGACAGTTGTGTTTGGCAGGGCTGAGGCACATTCAGGATGCTGTTGTCTTACCAGTGTTGCTACAGAAAGCAAAAAAAAAATAAATAAACTTCTGTGGCCTCTGGCATTCCTCATCCTAAGACGCCCAGCCTAGGCAGAATGCACTTTGCTGTACATCTGTTGTCTAAGAAAGTAGCTTTTTTGTCTTCAGATATGATCAAAATAAAACATCTTTTACAAAATCTCCAAACAGCAGAGCCAGCATGTCCTATGTCCTGAGGAAGTTCATGCTCATTTATCTTCCAAGAAGCCACCTTTTGCATCTTCATGTTTCCACACCTCGGTTTGTCTAAATGTGCTTCTGACAAACATTTTCAGGACCAATCTCACACTGATGTTTCTGAGCCCAATGTTTGACCAGTAAAACCTGCTGTGACTAGTTCTGAAGTAGGCCCTTTTCATTCTTCTGAGACTGCTCCATACAAAGGAGATGACACATTGGAAGTCCTTCAGATGGCAGTAGCCCGTGTTGGCCTTGATGACAATCCTGCTTACCCTGTTTAATCCAATGTGTTTTTTTTGCAGATATCCAGCTGCTTGCATTAACAGAGCTAAGAACAGTGCTAACTAATTTTAGCTGCCTCTAACTTTTTTAAATCTGAGGCGGACCCTTCTGTTCCACAGTTTTTTCAGACAGCCTTGCTTGCTATTGGGCATGTGGCTCGAGAGCTGAGGTCTCTTACAGCAACACTCTTAAATGCCCAAAGCAAGTATGGCTTGCTCAGCCCAGATAATCAGAGGACTGTAAAAAGATGTTGAGGGACCGTACTATTGTTCCAGGTCTTTTTTTTTTTTTTTGGCCCAGATGTATCAGAGGTGTTGGAAATGTGAAACTGTCTACAACTTTCTAGCAGCTAACACAGGCACAGCAGCCTCCAAGTTTCAGGGTGCCTTTGCCACCTTCTCTGTATTATACTTCTTTCAGAACAGTTGATAAGTCAATTAAAACAGTTGTTCATCTTTTATGGAAAAGCTAGCAGAGGTTCATCTCTAAGCAAACAGAGACTGTCATGATGGATTGTTGAGGTCATTGTTTTGATTGAGCCTATAAGAGGGCTCTGCAATCTGTACCTATTTACAATTCTTGGGTTGCTTTTAAAGGCGTTTCTCTTGCAACAATCTGTGCAGCAGTAACATGGTCTTTTTCCTGCACAGTTGCAAGATTCTTCAATGTCAGCATCACCTATTCTCTAAACATGGGCACAGCTGGTTTCCACAAATGACCCTGTATTTTTTCTGCTAAGATTTTCTTTCTCATGACCTTGTTGGTTTGTATCATTCACTATGTAAACACTGTCTCTGTTGGTCAGGAGGAATGAAACAGATTGTTGAATACATATGTAAACTTGGTTCAGTGAAATTTGGATGACCAGAATGCGAGGCGCTTCAAGGCAGGGTGCAGAGCTGTTGTGAATTATATACCTCAGCTCAGCTGGTGCCATCTTTGTTGGTATATTATTTCTCAACCTGTCCAGCTGGCGCTGCGATTATGAGCAACATTATATGAACAACGTCTCAGGTGGTCATCTGGATTTCACAGAACCACGGTTACATACTTAACCTTTCTCATCAAATGTTGAGCTGTGATATAACTAATGGCTGTTTTTTTAAAAGAGGAGTTGCTACTATATACCCTGACCTCTCTTTATGTTTTATTTGAGATTAAGTCAAACATCGGGGAAAAAATGCACATTTCAGAGCACTTCAAAGGACCTTTTGTCACTCAATCCACTAATCATACTGTCAAACCACCAATAGCAAATAACAACAATCTAAATATCCGTTGCTCTTGGACAAAATCAAGGCCCAGAAAAATAGTTTAACATACAATAAGTCACAATAAGAATATCGGCAATTTTGTTCATGACAACTTTTAAAAGTTAATACAAATTAGTAAATAAAATGCTGCAATGTTTATTTACACTTAAAATCTTTTGTCTTTATACACATTTAGAATTATTATAATATTGCTTTCTGGTTGAGAAAATCTAAAAATAGTCACACATTTAAAAGAAGCATTCCTGAAACAGAGAAGAGTCTTTGTCCTCTGATTTCAGCACATGCCACAGATGGAGGAACGGCTTGATCAAACCTGTATGGGGGGGTTATTATAATGTAAGCCCCATCAGCTGTTCCCTGTTCTTCTGCCCCACACAGACACCCCATTGTTTCCTGCACAGAGTCAAACAGGCACAGGAAAGCATTGAAAAAATACTGATTTGGGTGCTTGTTTAACATTCAGTGGTGGTGCCAGTCCTTTCTAATCCAAAGCGAGAGATTGAATTAACTGTGTTCTCTTTTCTTCCTCGTAGCCTCGTCTTCCTCCCCTCATCTGGCCCCAGATCTGGAGCGGGCCCGTCCTCAGACCAGTGGAGAGGAGGAACTTCAGCTACAGCTGGCCTTGGCTATGAGCCGGGAGGAGAGTGAGAAGGTGAACAGTTAAACACACACACACAAACACCACCACAATCAGTGCTTTTCTGCCTGGTTTGCTTCAGATGCACATTTTATAGAGATGCACACAACACACTTTCAAAAATAATGCTTACAAATGTGCGTTTTTGCAGGGATGTCATAGGTAACTATTTTAGTGTCCAAAAGAACCTTTCAGTTATAAACAGAACTACATAGTTTTTTGTGAATAACATTCTGACAACTCTAAATAGTTTTTTTTTTAACAATATAAAGAAATGCAATGAAAAGGCATTGACACATAACACTTTTTTTTTGGTAATAACTGGGGTTGTGTATGCTTTGGAGTTATCTTGATACTTTGCTAAACTTTTGATCTGCTGCTAAATCAATATATATATACACACACACACACACACACACACACACACACACACACACACATACATACATACATACATACACACATTTGTTTGTTTGTTAGCATGATAGCAAAATTTGCATTATGCCATTAGCATTACATTAGCTTACTACTCAGAGTCACACAGGAGAAAAAACATACAGCACAACAACAAGTTAGCTGGATTAAACTGGATGGTCGAGTAGTAGTCACACATTACAGACTGTAAGCACAACGGCATCATGCCACGTCTGATAAAGTTTTAAACATTGCTCCATTCAGTGCCTGTCCATGGCAAATAAAAAGCAATTTGGCCTGTCATGCCATGATCGCACTTCTCAATGGAGAAGGCTGTTTGCCCTATATGAAACTGTTCTTCTCTCAGCGCCACCATTGTTGTGTTTAGAAGTCCGCATGACACATTTTCAACCCTGCATACTGCAGCAGGGGTGTCGGAAGGTTTGAAAACAGTATACCATCACTTAATCTGTTTTGAGCATATCAAACGAAGAACAAAAAAAGAACTTAATTTGAAATATATCAGGACCTCATAAGTTTGCGTTGTATCTCACTTTGTAAAGTGTTGCACTTGTGATGCAGAGCTCTTAGGTTTAGGTCTAGTGAAGCACGATTTCACAAGAGATAAAAGCAATGTAAAGTCAGGTAAAACTGTATGGTTGCAGTGCCTTTTTCTCTTATGTCTGCTTTTAAAAACATAATGTATCTAAAATGGAAAACAAAATGCTAAGTAACATATTTCACATTTGCAAAAATGTAGACAGTGACCTATAGTGGATTTGTCAACTAAAACTTGCAACAAAATGTACCCAGAGCAACATGTTTTACATTTCACAAAAATGTAGGCTGTGGCACATATCGTGTGAGTCTGCTGAATTTAACTTTTTATGAGCATCTTTACACAGCAAAGGGGACACAGAAACTAAACCTGAAGTGGCATACATTTTCAAAAATTTGTATTTACACTAGATTGTTTAATGCAGCATAGCATCTGTATACTGCATTTTAATAAGACAGATGCGCTTTAGGGCCTTCTTAAATTGACTGTATAAAGTTTTGAGAAACTAGTCAATCTAATGTGCCCTTTGCGATGTGCTTCAATGAGGTAACTTGTCTTTCATTAGAATTTTGTTAGAGAATTATTTGCCTGAAGCCTTTAGACCAGCACTGAATTTCCAGTTAGCATGTGGGCTAATGATTGTTTGTAGTGCACTTAAGGTGAGAGTGATTTTCCAGAAAGAGCTCAGTCATCATCTGACAGTGTAAAGGGGCTACATTAACATCTTTACTCACTGATAATGCAGGTCTAAACGTGATGCTACAGTGACTAACGGTGTATTACTAGTCTGAAGCATTGATCCGCAAGTATGCTCTGTTTTATTGTACAGCATACGCTTTGAGCAGTGCAAGACCCTTAAAGCTTAATGTCCATTTGAAATCATAATGTACAATGTTCATTGTGCTAGTGCACATTGTTATTCTTCAGGTGAACCATTAATCCCAACAAGTTAATCCATTGGAAAAAAGTTTTTGACCATTTGCTTTCGCATTTGGAGTGGAGACTTTTCTCTGTCAGTTTGACACCTTCAGCCACTATATTCTTAACCACAGCCCTTTAACCATTAGATGGCTATGAGGGAATGATGCACAAAAAGAAAGCCTTGCCCCCTACTTAATATTCTGTTTTAGTTACAAGTATCAACAGGCTGAAATAAAAGTCTTTAACTTTTGGTTCACACGGTCTTTAAAGGCATAGTTTGAAATGAAAATGATCTCACTATTTATTTACCATCATGTGGTTTTACACCTTTTGAGTTTATTTCTTCTCTTGAACACTAATGAAGATCATTTGAATAATGCTATTTGATGGCTCCCATAGACTTCCATAGCAGGAAAAAAAATATAAAAAATGATAAAACAGGATAATGCAACACTGCTATAATCAGCGATTCCTCCAAGTTTTAAATGTCTGTAAGAGGTCATGTTTGATCTTCTATTTGCAATTACATGACGATAATTTGCGCGTGAGAGTTAATGTAACAGTTAAGTCAGTGAAGTGAAATATCTTCAGATGGGCTTGCAAAAAAATATATTACTTAAAAAGTTATTTGAAAACAATCTTATACATGACCTTGCATTACACATGAAAAGGGGATTTTGAAATGCTAATAAAATAATTCACTCAAAACTAAGAACTCATTATTTATTCACACTCATGTTGTGCCAAATGTTCAGGAGTTTAATGCCCATTCAAACTGTAACTTTATTTTTATCAATAATCATTTAGTTAAAAATCTTTGTATAATGTTTAAACGTTGATTTGTTGAGTCTGATGCTATTTTCACCAATCCAAAAATATGAAAGTGAATAATAATGATAGTAATAATAAAATGATAATGAGGCCACAGCATATATTTATGCTTAACAAAAGAATTCTTGGCATTTTCAATTTTTCTTTATTGGATCAAATGAACTTTTCTGGACGCTCAAAGCACTTTACATATTTTTGGGTGGGAATTTCCTCATCCACCACCAGTGTGCAGCCTCCACCTGGAAGATGTGATGACAGCTATTCAGCATCAGATTGATGAAGCCAATTATGATATGGAGATGGTTAGGAGGCCATGATGGAGGCCAGTGGCCAATTTTTTTGCCAGGATACCGGGGTTACACCCCTACTCTTTTCAGACCTCGGTTTAACATCTCGTCAGAGAGACGATGCTCACTGAGCAATATACAGTACCCATCAATATACTATGGCGTTAGGACCAAAAAGACCACAGTTTGAACAATCCCCTGCTGACCTTACTAACACCTCTTCCGACAGCAACCTAGTTTTCCCATGTGGTCTATCATCAAGGTCCTCCAGGTATCATGTGTGAGTTGCAGAGAGAAATAATGATAATGTCAAAAAGTAATGATAACAAAGGTTTTTTTTGTTGTTATTTTAACATTTTAATAAGTCAATTAGCCGACAGCTAGGCTAATTGACTTATTAAAATGTTAAAATAAAAAAACCTTTGTTGTCATGACTTTTTGACATATCATTATTTAGTGTTTAAAAATAACAGACTAAATATTTTTAGATGTGTTTTTCTTAAAATGAATAACTAGCAGCACAGTTGTTTTAACATTTATTTAATCAGTGATTGTCATTGACTTGTGATTCTCAGACCCATGAATCTGTTCTCCCCCAGCCGACTCCAGCTGTGGATATTGATGAACAGACGCAGCTTCAGATTGCTATGAGTCTTAGTAAGGAGGAGACACATAAGGTACAGCACTCCCATCAGTCTCTGTTTCACCTGCTCTTCATTCATCAGCAGATTCAGGAAAAGAGGCCTGCTTCTTGTGAATGACACTGTATTATTATTATTCTTATACATAGCCTACTCCTCTTCCTCCTCCCCCTCCTCCTCCTGCTGCTGCGGTTATGGAGATGGATGAAGAGGCACAGCTTCAGCTCGCCCTCACTCTCAGTAAAGAGGAACATCAGCAGGTGGGACAGTTGATAGTGAGACATATAGAGCCTGTTTAAATAGTGCCATCAGAAAATTATATTGCATAATGTATTAGGTTTCCTTATAATTCAGTGCAAATTATAAAGTATCTAGAACTTTTCTTGCTGTTGAATTATGTTAAATTATATTCTACAATTGTAACATTTATCATGGTTTTAAAAAGAGTAATTCATACAGAAATTATTTATTTTTAAATAATTAAAACATCTGATTTTCCATAAATATTATTTCAGTATTTAAAGGAAACGCAGTTGTGGCTGTACCACCAATATAAAGTAAACAAGCTATATCAACAATTTTTTTTTTTTAAAAACATGGTGATGGGCGGCGCAATTGCACAGTAGGTAGTGCTGTCGCCTCACAGCGAGAAGGTCGCTGGTTTGAGCCTCGGCTTGGTCAGTTGGCGGAGTTTGCATGTTCTCCCTGAATTCACGTGGGTTTCCTCCGGGTGCTCCGGTTTCCCCATAAGTCCAAAGACGTGAATTGGGAAGGCTAAATTGTCCGTAGTGTATGTGTGTGACTGAGAGTGTATGGATGTTTCCCAGAGATGGGTTGCAGCTGAAAGGGCATCCTCTGTGTAAAACATAGGCTGGAAAAGTTGGCGGTTCATTCCGCTGTGGCGACCCCTTATTAATAAAAGGGACTAAACTGAAAAGAAAATGAATGAACATGGTGATCAAATTTAGACTACAGCAAGAATTGTAGCATGATAAAAGATTAGAGCAGAAGTGACCAAGTGACTGTAAAGAAATAATTTAGAATTATTTTTAAAAACATCACAGATTTGGAACAACCACAAACTTGTCTAGCTATGACTGAAAATTTCTTTATATTCATTTTTTATTAAAAAGCATTTTAAAAATTCTGCTGTATAAGGCACAGTATGCATTACTTTTTTAACCATCCAGACACCACCAGCACAGTGCTATATATTTTTCTGATTTGTGTACTTGGATTATTCCAGATGTTTTGAAGAATGTTGAAATCAAGAAGAATCAGCAGTTTTCACTAGTGTTACAGACCGTGTCCTCTGTGTTCATGCTAATGATGTCACACACGTGGGTTTGGTCTAATAGAGAAATATACTTTAATATGTTGTGTGCTTTATTTGACTTCACAGAGAGAGCAGCATTAGAACAGAACTTTTGAATGTAATTAATATGATAAAACAGTGCTTTTACGTTTTTTTTCTTTGTATCTCTGTTGTTTTCCACATTGCACAAATGGCCCTAGATTCATTGTGTGCATTTATACTGCCTTTATTTCTAGCAAGCTAAATGCTTCTACTTAATAAACAGAGTTGACACCAGGAGGTGGGTGGTGTTGTTGTTGTCGCGGGGCAATTTTGATCATTTTGGAAGGGCACTTTCTATCCAAGACTAAAAAGGGCATGTGCACTGCACAGGTTGATCCCTATGTGTGCACGTGCCTGGCAGCAGTACTAAAAGGCTATAAGTGAGTTTATAGGTAATTAATAGCATTCAGATGAAATTTTATGTATTATTGTTTTAGTTTAATTTGATCTCATCATTAGACGCTGTGGTGCGGTGGGAGTCACACATCAGGAGCTGCTTTTCATACTAAAACATAAAGGAACAAAGCAGCAGGTTTCAGATTTTTGACAAAATCATTAATTTTTTTTTTCTACTCAATATATTATCTTATGTACGGTTGGAATCAGAATTATTAAACCCCAATTGAAATAGTTTTTTCTGTTTAAATATTTCCCAAATGATGTTTAACAGAGCAAGTAAATTATTACAGTATGTCTGATAATATCTTTTTTCTTCTGGAGAAAGTCTTATTTGTTTTATTTCGGCTAGAATAAAAGCAGTACTTGATAAAAAAAATAAATAAGTAAAAATTAAGAATTAAGGTCAAAATTATTAGCCCCTTTAAGCTGTATATTTTTTTGATTGTCTACAGAAAAAAACTATCATTATAAAATAACTTGCCTAATTACCCTATCCTGCCTAGTTAACCTAAATAACCTAGTTAAGCCTTTAAATGTCACTTTAAGCTGAATAGAAATTGTCTTAAAATATCTAGTGAAATATTATTTACTGTCATCATGGCAAAGATAAAATAAATCACTTATTAGAAATGAGTTATGTCACTATTTAATAAGTTGTCTAGGGAGAGTAAACATAACATTTAGAATATTAAATTATTACTGCAGTAAATGGATGGTAATAAACAAGGACACAATCTTAACAATCAATTTGTTTATTCCTCTTTGAGGAAAAGAGTGATAAAGCCAACAAAAGAGAGGCATGTGTGCGCTTTATACAATGCATAAAAAAGCTAACAGAAATAAAATCAAACCAAAAGTTTTTGGGGAAAAGGAACTGGAGTGGCGCCAAAGCATACACTCCCTGAAATAATAAACAAAAATACAAAAAGCGATGCTCACCCACTTACCTAGTGTTTCTGAACAATATAAATACCTACGGGCAAAATGTATGTCCCTTGACTTTGTAACCTATTCTTTTTTTCCATAAAAGGAATGATAAACTCTTTAACCATATTAAATTAATTTACAGTTGTGTATAATTATTTAGTTAAATGAAACAAAACATAATACCTAATCAGAATCGAGCGCACACAGCTCAAACCAACACAAACACACAGCATAGACGAAAACAAGGCGTGCCAGTTAAATTTAAAGTCTGCAGAAGGAAGCCCTATTGATCCACAAGGAAACGCAATGAGCGGGTACCTGGGAGAGAGAAAATAGCAGAACAAAAGGTGACAGGGCGAGACAAAGAGTGAATGACAGACAAGATAAATTGTAATTATCAAAGTTTTTTTACACAGTATTGAATTTGTCAGTGCTTTGCAGCTGTGCTAAGTGTGTTATTCAAGAAATTAATAAATTGATAAATAACAACAAACCAACATTTTGCAATTTCACAAAGAGCTTAATTAATGTGTGAAAAAGCTTTTAAAAATGATTAAGGATCAATGATTAATATCCAAACTAAATTGTCACAAACAGCCTAGTTTATGATATTCTGAAAAAAAAACATTTGTAACTATTTTATGTAGACTTTCTCTCTTAAGCATGAATTGATATCTTCTCTTTTGTTCACAAGGAGGAGAGAAGCCGTCGGGGGGATGAGTCTCTGCTCCAGAAAGCACTTGAGGAGAGCAAACGAGAAATGGAGGCCAAAGGAGGAGTATGAAACCACTCATTAAACTTGCTTGCTATACATAAGCTCAATCTTTACACTTGATATAGAAGTGCTTTCATCAGTCCATCACAAGTGGGCGATGCTAAAAACTAGTTTAAACGGGGTCTTATGTGCTTTGACCTTCTCCACTTTTAACTTCTTTCAGAGGTATTCGATAACATTAAATTAGATTCTTTATATAATGTAAATGTGGTCAAATATTTAATCATCAAAAAAAAAGAAAACAAAGAAAAAAATGTGTTGCCTACTAACTTAAAACATACTTAAATGTATGTCTACTAAACAAACAAGGTAGTCATGCTTTGCTGCACTGTACCACAGCAAACAGTTTATGTTTAAAATGATAGTTGCCATAATTTTTATGCACTTGATTTACCGCTCACTTGTAAGCCACATAACACTAGCTTGTTCATTAAGAAATAACAGAAAAGGACTATGATGAAATCCGAACACAAAAGGTAATAAGGGATTAATTTGAATGCATGTTGCTTGCAAGTGGAAATGACTTGACTAAATGTCTAAACCTAACATGTTGTGATTGGATCAATGACAATGCATGCTATTACCAGGTGGAGACATAGATGAGTGTTCTGCAAGTATTTATGCACTGTAAAACCCAACAGTCAACTTTATCAAATGAAATGAGTGTCGTTGACTCAAAATTTACTGAAGGTTAGTTCTACTCATTTGAAAAGTTTTGAACTAAGCGTTGAAGGCAATGAGTTAAATACCTCTTCAACTTAAATAGAGTAAGTTCACAGTACTCATATAGATTAGTTTTTTTTAACTCAAATGATTTTTAGCAATCGGTTTCCTCAAAAGCTTTGAGTTGCCTCAACTTATTGGGTTTAACAGCACTCCGTTGGTTTGAGTTCTCTTCATCTATTGGGTTCTAATGTTGTCTTAAAGTTTTTGATCTTAAAGGGTTTAACCTTAAATTGGTTTCCTCAAATTGTTTTGTGTTAACTTTTTGAGCTTTACAGTGTGAGAAACAAAGTAAAATCTACACTTTCTATGATGTATAAGATTCCTACTGCAAAAATTGACATAAAATGTATGGTAAGGTAAATTGTTGGTTCACCCAAAAATGAAAATTCTGTTATTTATTACTCACGCCCATATCATTCTAATGACCTGTGGTCTTTGTTCATTTTCAGAACACAAATTAAGATATTGTAGTTGCAATCTGAGAGCTCCCTCATTATGGCTTCACAATATATCTTTTTAGCATCATTACGCAATGTGTGAATACACAATAGTCGCATTGCAGGATGTGCAGTGTGAAGTCAGATTATAGTTGACCAGGTACAACAGTTTAGAAAACATGACAGTTTTGGAATCATTTCAGTTTAATCATAATAAATGGAAAGTTTATCAATTGCTTCTATTTTTAAGCCCTTTGTGTAAACATTTTAAGTGAGTTTAAAGCATTTGTGCACAACGGATTATTATGTTTGCAGATTAAACAAAGATTAATCATATTTAATTATTTACACAATGAATAATATACAGCTTCATTTTATGAACTAACTTATGAAAATTGCATAAAATTTAAATGTCGCAGTGTACGTTTTTTTTCAATATTCATCCTCCATATATAGCAATGGTCCAGCGATGTTCAGAGAAGGAACCAAATCATTGTCAAAACAGTCCATGTGTCTTCAGTGGTTGTCTCTTTGTGTTTACGGTACTTTTGTGTTGCACTGCTGACTCTAATGGCATAGTCATAGTGCCATTACTGTTTCATACTGTTTCACATTTTTAACAGTTTTTTGGAACAGAGTTCTTAGAGCTTCGTATGATTACAGTTGAACAACTGAAGTCACATGGAATACTTTGACAGTCTTTTTTTCTGAACTTTGTACACCTTGAGATAAGCCAAAGATGAATGAAGTTGTCAGGGAATTGAAAGGTGTGAGGATAATTACTAACAGAATTTCAATTTTTTTTTCATTAAAATTATACAATTAATAAAATTTGTGCTTTCATTAAAATTATACACTTAATAAGTTGTACAATTTTGCTACACTCACAGATGAGCTGAAAATGTTAGGATTACCTGGGCTTTTTTTGTCACAATAAATTCAAGGTACTGTTCGAGGTTCTGTACTGCAGTTAGTTGTCCTCATTTCAGGCTTTGTATAGATGCTATTGACCTAAAAAAAATCTTTCTGAATGTGCTGAAACCGCTTTTCTCTCCTTCCCGTTGGCAGTCTGCCATGCTGGATCTTGCAGATATTTTCACTTCGGCTCCTGAACTGCCCTCTGCTGCCAGTGCTTGGGATTCATCTGGAGGCCAAGGTGCTTTAGCGCAGGCTGGTCCTCTGCGGTCTGACCCATGGGATAGTCTAGGTAAGCCCTGCGATTCAGTATGATTGCATCTTAGCAGTAAGTGCTCTTCAACAGCAAAGGTGGACCAAGTGTTTTTTTGGTAAATAATGTTGAGATCACTTTACTGCAAAATAAATTTTTGTAATTACTTATTGAACTGTTTTTATTCATAGACATAACCAACATTTATGTGAACTTGTGTTTTTTTTTTTTTTTAAATATATATATATATTTATATTTATATATTTAACCTTGTGCACACTTAAGTTGAAATGTTACTTGAAAGATAACTTAGTTGACGTGAAGGTCTGTCTGTCTGTTTCTGTGCTCTAGTGTTAATTTCACCAACAAAATAAGGATGGAAAATTACTACCTTTTTTCCAAGACCAATTTCCCGTTTATACTGAGTGGTACCAATGGTACCCTTTCTTTACTCTTCACCAGCACATGTAACATCTTGTTAGAAAGTAATTTCATCATTCAGAGTTCATAATGATCCAAATATTGATGATAATAGTTAAAGGTGGCAGTTTGTTCATGTTTTAGGCTGCTGAAAGAATCATTTGCTTCTTTGTTTTGTCACGTTTGTCCATTTCCGAAACGATCGAATGTCAGAAGCACTTCAATAATCATGCGCACGTTAATATCATCAGCTCAAAAAGTTAGTTATTTCAAACATAGACGCAACAATTGTAGACGGCCTCGCAAAACAAAAACAGGACACAGCAGATTTTGTTATTGGCTTTGTGGCTGTTCATTAAGACAACGACATGGTTTGTTTGAGCTCGGGTCGACCATGGCTCGTTGTTAAATGCATGTAGTATTACAGTGTAATGTCTCGGCTGTATCTTCTCCTGCTTGTGCATGTGCTAGTGACGTTTCTCTGTAAACCAATAGCATTCTGCTGCGCGTCTAGCTCCGCCTTTTGATATGCTTTTGTCGTGCTTGGTACCCTTTGCATAGGGTACTCAAAAAGTGCTACAGTACGGTTTGCTTTTTGGTAGCTTTTGACAGTGGAAACACCATAAAAATGATTATAAAAGGGATGACATGACTATATCAGCATGCAATACTGTTGATGAAGAAAGACGAGACTGAAATATACTCAAAAAGATAAAAACTAACCATTGTTATTTTTCATCAGTTAATTTATTAGATGAACAGTTTAGAATGCGTAGTTTTCAGTAATGTTACTGCTGCAGCAGACCTGTCAAGTTTCTGTTTGTTTCAAGCCATAGGCAACGAACATTTGAACAATACTTTTTTTCATTGATAAATTTAACACTGCTGTGGTCATGGTTCATGACTGTTTAGCAGGAGTTTGAACTGTCAAGGCTTTAAAACAGATGCAGATGTTTTCATTTGTTGTTGATGGAGTAGCTGAGGCAGAAGCTGTAAAGGTTACACTACCTTCTGGAAAGGGGGTGGGAAACAGCAGCTCATTTTCATTTAAAGTGACAGCATGCTTTTCTTTTCATCTAAAAAGGGGCATTCCTTGCATTGTACATATTATAGAATCTTTGAGATATGTTCACTTCACAGACACATTCTGGGAACACCTAAGACTTATATTACAGGATATTGCATAGAATAATTTGACAGTAAGAACATTTATCCTATTTATTTTCTCTGATGGAACAAGGGATTGGTGAAAAGAAACTTGAATATATATGTGAGGGAATAGATTTTGAGTTTTTATAAGCAGGATTCATCATTAATCAACTTTAAAAAAAAAAAAAAGTATTTTTGCCTTGTTATGACGCGCTTGTTTGGGTCGCAACATAAATGAGAGCTCAACAAACAAAGTAGTATTAATGCTAATCGTTATTCAATCACCATAATTAGTTTTACTTGCATTTGGAACATTTGCACTTATGCAACATTTGGATACATTTTCATTTTTTAAAGTCAATGAACCATGAGTGACTAATGCAGTGGTGAATGGGTTACAATACGCGTTCCTAAATGACGGCATTAACAAAAAATGTTTGCTGCTTCTGTACAAGTGGTCTATATCATGGCCTGCCAGGGTCAAAATCAATATCTGTTTTTTTTATGCCTCTGCCACGATAATGAAAAAGCTAATTTAAAAAGTATAATTACACAGCAGTTTAACGCACAGACACTAGAAGAAAATCAGTATTGTAGAAACATGCATTATTATATATATTATATATAGTGGTGTTGTTTGTAGAAATTTAAGAAAAATAAAAAATTTATCCAATTTAGAATAAAGCTTCAATTAAACAAAATGTAGGGAAAAGTGCTTATAATACTTCCCATGTGCACTCCATATGTGACTCAAGATATGTGCTTACAACTGATATTTTACTCCTGTCAAGATAACTTTAAACAGGACTAAGCAGTTACATAATAAGGTGATGTGTTAGCTTTAAGTTCAATACAACTGTTGTTTTACACAGTGGCACTCAAACAAAATATTTGTTGGTGCACATTTAAGCAATAAAATGAACATAAACCATCAGCAATATTGCTTTGATGTAATGCTTAACTCCTGTTTTGCAGAGCCCAGCTCTTCAATCCGCCGGCATGGAAGCTCATGGAATGCACCTCCTGCATCAAGTGAATATTCCCAACCCTGGGCACATCGACAGCAAACTTCTGACCCATGGGATGCCCCTCAGAATGCCTCCAGCCCTGTGTCCACGAATCACACCTGGATCTCCCCTGCACATGGTACAACTCTACAACGGCATGATGATACACTGAAGCTAATAAGCTTGATAACAGGGGTGCAAACTTGTCACCTTTCTGCAAATTTCAATATTTGGATGCATTTAACTATAAACTTAGCTTAAAGTACAAATGAAATCAAAACTAACCATATGATTTTGTTAGCTCACATTGCTAGTTTTGTGGTGAACAGTTAATTTGTGCATGTCATTAAGAAAAAAATAGTTTGCCCTTCAAATTTAAAATTAAATCTGAAAATGCAGCACTTCTTGTTTGTTTTCAGTTAAATTCTCAAATTATGATTGTCTGTCAGTTTTGACAACAAACAGAAATGGTAAGGAGGAGGTGTCTGTTAGGTCGTAATAACCCAAAACCATTTCCTGATCTTTCTGAATAAAATGCCTACTTTACTACATCCAATCAACTCGCAGTAGAAAAAACAAGCCACATCCACTGTTTTCTCATTTAAAAATCAGCTTCTTTAGAAACCGCATCACAATAATCGCAAATATCGCAGCTTCTGGTTCTAGTGGACTTTAAAAAGCATCTGATTGAATGCCAATTTACTGAGAGCTCTGTGTTTACGATGGCATGCAAACATAGAGAACACGAGAGTCTCTCTATCAGATGAGTCTCTCATCACATGCCTTATACAGTATATATATATATATCAGGGTCCCCGCGGGTCCTTAAAAAGTCTTAAAATGTCTTAAATAAAATTTTCGATTTTTAAGGTCTGAAAATGTCTTAAATTCTGTAATTTTCCATAAGGAGGTCTTAAATTTCATGTGGGATCTTAAATATCATGTCCGACTCGTCTTATGGCGGCAAATCAATGCCAATATAAATCGAGCGCAGCGGTGATGTTTGCGCGTGAGGAGAAGTGAACCGTGAGCAGATTACAGGTCTACACGCGAGAAAATTACAGCTCGCGAGCGCACAGGGGATCTTCACATTATCATCTGTGCGCACGATGTACGCTCTCGCGAGCGAGGTCATGCCTACAGCGCGCGCGCGATCAGTTCTCTGCGCTCGCTCGCTGGTTCTTCTCTCTGCTCGCGCGAAACAGTTTAGATTTTTGTGAGTCCTAGGGGGGGACTTGGTTTTCTTGTTATCTCTAACGCTATTGGCTACTCTACCTTTCCAGAAGTTAGCCGGGATTGGACGCAGGTAAGCTAGTTTCCCCGTTAAATAAAATTATATAGGAAATCTTATCATAATGTCACAGTGTGAAACATAGACTTACTTTCTCAGTAATAATAGGTGGAGACTTACTTTCAATAATGAGATATTTTTTGTAATAATTAATCTCATAATAATGCCTATTCTTACCATCATGACCAAGTCATATAATGACATATCAAAATAATGAGATATATTTCTGTAACAAACTTTATTACTTGGGAGAGAAAGAGAGAGTTATACCATGTGGCAAAAGATCTCTCCATTAAACAGAAATTGGGGAAAATATACATGGGCTATTAAATCAGGACGAATAATTCAGACTTTAAATGTGTTTTGAACCATTTGATGAAGTTTAGAACCTACATTTAAACTGAACTCAAACTAAACGTGTTCAAATTTACAAAAATCTTTTTTTTTCTAAGATTCATTGTCCTTGACTCATTTTCTGTGAAGAACAAGTCAGAATAAATTGGATGGACAATAGTATACAAAATAGGCTATACATGCATGCAGTGCATAAAGTACAAAGGTTTATAGTAAATATATTGCCATTAGTCTGTTATTCCACTATACAGTTAAAGTCAGAATTATTAGCCCGCCTGAATTAATAGCCCCCTGTTTATTTTTATCCTAATTTTTATTTAACGGAGAGAAGATTTTTTTCAACACATTTCTAAACATTATAGTTTTAATAACTCATTTCTAATAACTGATTTATTTTATCTTTGCCATGATGACAGTAAATAATATTAGACTAGATATTCTTCAAGACACTTCTATACAGCTTAAAGTGACATTTAAAGGCTTAACTAGGTTAACTAGGCAGGGTAATTGGGCAAGTTATTATATAACGATGGTTTGTTCTGTAGACTTTCGAAAAAAATAAATAGGTTAAAGAGGGTAATAATATGGACCTTAAAATGGGTTTTAAAAAATTAAAACAGCTTTTATTCTTGCCGAAATAAAACAAGAAAAAAGTGGGCTACTAATTTTGACTTCAACTGCATATGTGACCTTTAAGATGTGGGCCTGTCGTATAGAAAGTAGTATTTGTATGCCTCTGAAGTGGAATGATGTAATGGATAGTGAGTAAAGCCAAACGAAGATTGTAGAAATTAAATTGTTGCTCAATAGGTGGCGATAAAAACCCATCTGAATGTCTGTCACTGTATTTTTTATGTTTAATTGGGCTAATCATTTTTGATTGAAGTCTTTATATGCAGGTTATTCAATCATTAACTCAAAAATGAGATTGAAAAATATATATAATATATATAGATATATATATTTTACACTGATCTATATTACAAACAATGTTAACAATTATCTATAAAGATAAATTAATTATAATTATCTATAAAGATCTAAAACGCAAATAAACTCTTCTGAAGACAATATTTCCTAGAAAGATCATCCCCAAGTGTAATAATGAGCACTGCTGTTGTGGTAATAATGAAGTAAAATACAACAAACCAGACAAGTGCTGCACGGACAAATCAAATGGGTTCAGAAAGTCATGTTACAAGAATGCAAGTCATTATTTTGGATATTATTTGACTGTTTCTCGAGATTGAATTTCTTATGATTATGACTTGCAAATTGTATATATATTTAACGGCATGATCTTTTAACTTGCGTCCAATCCCGGCTAACTTCCGGAAAGGCACAGTAGCCAATAGCGTTAGAGATAACAAATAAACCAAGTCAACCAAGTAATCTGCTCACGGTTCACTTCTCCTCGCGCGCAAACATCACCGCTGCGCTCGATTTATATTGCCATTGATTTGACGCCATAGATTTGCCGCCATACTTCACCACATCATTCTGTGTTCACACTGAACATTTTCCTGTTTTTTTTTTTTTAGGTAAAGTCTTAAATTTTCATTTTAGAGGACTTAAAAAGGTCTTAAAAGGTCTTAAATTTTCTGTTAAAAAATGTGCAGATACCCTGTATATATATATATATATATATATATATATATATATATATATATATATATATATATATATATATATATATATATATATATATATATATATATATATATATACATGTGATGTGATCTCGTGAGACTAAATCGCGACGAGATTTCTCATCGAGGTGAAAAGTTGTCTCGCCAGTTGTGATGTTTTGATGGAGCGTGAGGGTGAATTTAGCACTGTAGGTTAGAGGCAGGATTGGATTAGAACTGCAAAACGTAAGCTCTTGCTGAATAGAAAGTGAAACTGTTGAAAAATTTTAACCCAAAATGACATGTTTACAATTTTTTTTTTTTTTTCAATTTGTGCAAAGGAGTTCTGTTCACATGTAAAACGGTACAGGGGAGAAGCCAGTCAGTAGAGTTTAGAGCTAAATATTTAGCAGTATTTGCATGTCCTTTATGTCACAATTCAATAAAATGAATGTAAAATAACATTTATTACAAGTTGATTTAAAAATGAGTTGTTTTACATTTTGTGATTTTTTTTTTTTTTTTAAGGTAAATAAAAATTAATTTTCCATTCATATATTACCAGATATTTTGCCGTGTTTGCATGTCCTTAATAGAATTCATTAAAATAGAAGTAAAATAACATTCAGTACTAGTTGACTTTTTTTTATTTTTATAAAGAAACACATAAATAGTTTTGTTGAATACAATATTTTTCATTGATGTATTTCATCACTGAATATTTCTTAAAAATACTGTAAAAATCTTGTCCCGTTTTGTCGTGAACCCAGTCTCGTGTCTCGTCTTGTGGAGTGTCTCATCACACCCCTAATATATATTTATATATACGATTTTCTGTGATGATCCAACTATTTTTCTTATCATATATATGAGTACACAAGATCTCTTTAGAATGAAAAGTTTCTATAGGATGCTATATAATAAGATATGCTTGTACATTACATTAGTCAGTATTAAAGCCACAGCTGCAACAAATCTAAAAAAAAAACAACTCAAGATCACAGTGCAAAAATAATACACACCAATGGAAGTATTAAGTCAAATTTTAATAAGCAAAAGAGGAAAAGTTTTTCGTTTACTTTTTAAATATTGCAGTATGTATTATTATACCATTCCTAAAAATGTTAAGTTACTTATCCTAATGAATATATCCTTTTATTAAAACCTGTTTAAATGCACCAAAATATATTGTGTATATTCACTGAGAAATGGTACAAATATTTATCTTCAAAACGGGGGTGTACTTGTTTATGCTGTGCACTATATAGGGTCACCTTTTTTAAACCATGACAAGTTTGCATCCTGTAATATACTAAATATCCTAACGATGCTGTTAATCCTTTGCTAATTTTAATGAAAAATATATTTTAAATTTTCTAAAAAAACGTTCTTTCCCAATTATGCTTGATAATCTTTTGTCTCTATTAGGTAAATGTAGGGGTGCAGTAGCATAGAGATGACCTAGAGATAATATATATGGTCTAGCAATTCAGTGTATTATGGGTGTTTAAATCTTCCAGGGGCTGGAGTGGATCCTTTTTCTCCCCCCGTAGTGGACAGACGAGGATCTATTGGCCCTCTCAAAACTTCACCCCCTCGTGCAGGAAGTCCCTCAGGCAATCACTTTGATTTTTTTTTCATTTCCATTAATATTAATATTCTAATATTAATCATTTATTTTAAAATAATAACATTTATTTTATTCACCATTTCATAATTTTTTTTTTCTTCAAACATACTACTATTCAAATGTTTGGGGTTATTAGGTATTTGTTTGAAAAACTCTGAAAAACTGCTTTTACCAAAAGTAATAGTGATCGGTTGAAATGTTTCTTGAGCTCCAAATCATTATATTAAAATATTTTCTGAAAGATCATTTGAGTAATGATGCTTGCTAAGTACAGGGATGTCTTGTGTTCACAATTAAAATAAACTCTTGTGCGCTTGATTTTTTTAGGTTCTATCCTAAAACTTACACAGTGCAGGACTTAAAGTATTGATATATTTTGGTCCAGACCAAAATAACTATAACTGTGAACACACTTGAAGATAACCATCTTAAAAAGCACTATCTTCCCCAAATATTTGAATGCTAGTGTGCATTTTGTATTATATATTTTATTTTTCCATGTTGAATTCTTATTATATAGATGATGATCTTTTTGATGAGGCTATGGATGGAGGCCAGGCAAATGTGAATGGCCATGGTAGTCCTGAGCCTTTCAATTTGTCTTCCCTTGGCGAAGGTCTACCAAAACCAGCTCCTCGAACCTGCAGTACTCCTGAGGCATTTCTGGGTCCATCTGGAGCTTCACTTGTCAACTTGGATTCTCTGATACCCCCAAATCCTACTTCCAAGAACTTCAACCCATTTTTATCAGGTCAGAATGCACCATTATTAGATTATGTCAAAATACAATTTCTGTTAATAATTACTCACCATCATGTCGATTCCACCTCCTGAGACATTATTTCATCTACTGAATACAAACTATGTTATTTCAGATATAATCTGAGAGATCACTTATCCCGTTAAAAAAAACATTGTTTCAACACTTCAGTGGTTCAACTGTAATGGTCCTACTTTATATTAAGTGTCGCTTATACCTGTGAATGTACACGGTCACTAGATGTGTAAGTAGTATGTAACTACAGTGTCTGTACACACTGGTACATAGTATTTACTTGTGTAATACTGGTGAAACTATACACATGTAACAACCCACTGAATAGTATGTGTTTGTGTAACACGACATTAATAACACTATCTTTGGTAAACCACACCTTTAATGTGAATCACTGAGGTGATTCTACAGTTTACCTTAAAACAACATAAACATAAGGCATGTGTATATTTCTATTTAAACTTATATGTTTTGGCAGAAGTTTGCTGTTGTTAAACAGTTGCACAAATGCTTTTATATATATATTACACAGTCATTTGTGACCATTTTAAACTTTATATTGAGTGGGCAGTTTCTGATGACTTACCCTGTAATTACACTAGTATCACAAGGTGAAACCTTCTAAAGCAGCATTAGTTCTGCCATTCTTATTCGAATACAGTGTTCAGAAGCACATAGTATGCAAACAGGTGTGGAAGTGGGAAAACACCTGCAAGTATATTGTTGTCACACAATGCACTTATGTAATTCTTGTTACAGATGTGTACATTTTTTGTGTTGTTACCAATGTCCTTTTACCCATTTGAACTTACACATACTATTTAGTGTTGTTACTTGTGTATAGTTACACCAGTATAACACAAGTAAATACTATGTACCAGTGTGTACATACACTGTAGTAACATACTACTTACACATCTAGTTACCATGTAAGTTCACAGGTATAAGCGACACAACATAAAGGGGACCAATAATTAACCAGTAAGATAATAATATTAAATAAATAAAAAAACATCTGGATGTTAATTCTAATGGTTATATCCTAAAATAACATATTTCAACATAATATCAGAGATTATGCCACTACATATACCTAATACATTTTTGGTAAATTCACAATTACAAAAAAAGGTGAGACAGATCTTCAGTTTGGTGATCGCAGAAGGAGCAATTTACATTAAAATCTTCAGAAATAAAACTTTGTATAATTTTATAAGACACTTAAAAAGACTTACATTTCAAAAACAAAATTTTAGGCCTTAAAAATGTCTTAAATTCACTGTAATGTTAAATTGGTCTTAAATAATTTTAAACAGGTCTTAATTTTCCTCAGTCCAAGTAAAGCTACCCAATTGGGCTGAAATCCATCCATCCATCCATCCAATCACCACCAATCCATCTTAATAAAATCAGGGAAAGAAAACTAAAAACAATTACACAATTTCCTCATGATAATAACAGAGCAATATATCCTTTTACAATATCATCCATTTATACAAAAAATATTCACAGAGGTAAAAGTTGAGCAGACATAGTATATTTAAATAGACATGAATCTTAAGGTTTTATAACAGTAATGCATTAGGTTAAATAGAAATTGTGCTCAATCAATTTAGACCAAAAGCCAACAAGTATATATATTTGATTATTTATGTAATCATCTCCACAATAAATTTATTTTTAACAATGTTAAACTTGTCATTTAAAACAAAAAAGTATGTAGTATTATGTTGAAAATAGTGTATACAACTAGAGTTTTCTTGTTTTGACACATTAAAGTATGTCTTTAAGAAATAATTACATTAGATTTTTGTGGCAAGCATTATAAATAACTGGGCCATTAGAAATAATCATTAGTTTTTAGCCCTGTATAAGTCTAAAATTTAATTCATAATGGTCTTAAAAAGTCTTAAATTTGACTTAATGAAAACTGCAAAACCTGTCTGTTTCAATAATAGACAGCAGTAGGACTAGAGATTATCTCATGCTGAAATAGAGTGCAGATATTTTTGTTATTTGGCTTTGTGGTAAATAGTAATTTACCAAGAACTGTTTTTTAGCACATTTAAGCCGCTTTTCCACTATCGTGCTGAATCGTTCTTTAAACAGAACTGTTCTATTCTGTGCCAAACCGGGCCAGACAGCACGGATATGGTTTCATTTTCCACTGTCGTGCTGCGACAAAGCTCTTTAAAACATTACACAAAACGCATCAGTAGTTGCCTTGATAATGCAATGTAAACGGCTCCCTTTGTTCAAATAAAGTTAAATAAGAGCCGAAACTAGTTGTTTTTGTTGTTTTTTTTATAAAAGCGAAAGCAACCATGTGACTAAACACTGTTATGCCGCTCTATCAAATAGGGGTGCTAAATATAGGTACATGTGCACCCTTATTTATATGTTGCGCAGCTCTGGCTAAATTTTATTTGGAGAGAAAATTACCAAAATGTAACGTGATGATTGAAAATAATTGGAGGGGAAATAAATAATATTTAAAATCTCTGAACATAACAGAAAAAAAAAACAAAGATAAGACAACACTAATAGTGCATTTGTATTATAGTGGCAGAAATCATTTTGGACAGGCCTTGTCAAAGGTGAGCGGGCACTAATAAAAACACAGCATATAAATTATTTCATTTTTAACAATTAATTAAATTACACAGCGTTTTTATATCAAAAGTTGATAATGATATAAAATATACTACATTTTGATGGTAAAATGACACCAATTAAGCAATGGCTGTTATTTGTTTTACTATTCAAACACTAAATAACGAATGCAGCAAGTGAAATAAAAACGAATATGAAACAACACATAGCAGGATTTAAAGCATATAAAGCACTATTATATTTAGCAAAATGCTGCTCTATTATCTTTTTATTTTGATCATTTTATTTTTATTATTATAATTATTTTTGTGTTCATAATTAACTAACAAGCTGTAGGCGAATTATTGCTAGACGTTTTAGAAAATATTTGCGTAGCTATATTAAAGATCACCAAGAACAAAAAAACAAAAACACAGAAACATGTTACATGCCTCAGAAATGTCATATAACTTATGTATAACTGAATCATATAATTGCTTATAGCTGAAATGATGAAAATTGCTCATTTTATTTTTATAAAACATTTGTCAAAACGTATTGATATTTTTTGAGTAAAAGCAACACTGACATTTAAGAATCCATATTTATTTAATTCATTCATTCTTTTGACTTGTTTATTAGTGCATATGCTATAATATAAATCATACAACAGTACCTTGGACAGTTACAGTGCCGCTTCCTAAAGCTTTCAAGCAAAGTCTTTTGGACGGCCGACATTACAACATGCCGTCCTTCAGGTGGTCTCGCCGGTATTAACAAGCTTTGAATTAAAAAGTGCAATTATTTCCTCTTGTTAAAAGAGTCTGCAAGTTTGTGTTCCATGGATATTTATTCGCTTTATTCGATGCGCAGCAGGAAAAAAAAGTCAGCAGCGCAAGTCGCTGGCATGTCTCTCCTGGATCAGAGCGAGTTTTGTGCTGTGAAATACAGCGCTGCTTGCAATAAACTCACATTCAGGCAGGCGAAGTAGGTCTGTATTCAAGACAAGTCCATAAAATAATAACCTTAATGAATAAAATACCTTCGTAAGAATGTGATGAGTTATTCACTTATCTGCCAGAGACTGCTATGGTTTTAAAACCCTTTTCAAACTGTATCGTTTAGACCTGGATCATTATTTTATATTTAATGTACTGTATTTATTGAGGATGTCTGATGACTAGCGCGCTTTTGCTGAGCCAGCTGTGGTAGCTTAGCAACAGAGCCGCGACATCAACACACAGAATCTGTCGGCACAGTTCAGCACGGTTGTCTAATCGTGCCGAGAATTCCGGGCCGAGAACGGTTTGTAATCGTGCCGCGCCGTTCCAGGCTCAGTGGAGAAACAACCGTAACCGTACCGAAGTGTTCCTAGAACGGTTTGGCACGATAGTGGAAAAGCAGCTTTAGATGTGGCACATCCTCGGGTGACTGATTGTCCCATGCATGCATAATAATCCCAGAGGGGATTGCTCCAAAAACAATAGCAAATTCTTTAGCTGTGATTGGATATTTGTAATTGGACAAAAAAATCCTTCTATTAAAAAGGCCTTCCTTTGTTATTAAATAATTGTCTATCATTTATTTATTCATTCATTTTCTTTTTGGCTTAGTCCCTTTATTGATCCTGGGGTCGCCACAGCGGAATGAACCGCAAACTCATCCAGCATATGTTTTATGGAGCAGATAAATTGTCTAACATAAATTATACTATTTTTAGCCCAATTATCAAAGTAAATTGACTTATTTTTATAAAATAATTCTCGGTTGTGCAAAACTATTTAATTATGTGGGGAAAAGTTGTGCTTTTAAATTAAAGACCGTGATAACAGACATTGTTTATGAAATGATTTGGAAGGTATTTTCTCTGTATTACAATTACACAAGAGCAAAAAATTTAAACCCCCTAATTTAAAGAAAAACAAATTTGGTATAAAATTCTACAGAGAGGCAGGATATTTAAGATGCTGATTAATCCAATTATTTTTGAATGTATAATTAGGATTAGCAAAACTGATGAAAATAGGACCGCAATTTTCATAATTATTTAAAACTACATATTTTCTAATATAGTGTTTCTTATTTTTAATAATTAAACAAGGATTGATCAGTTGTCTTGAAAGTCTTGGTATCCACATACAGTGATGCTGTAGAGAAGGCTAGACTTAAAAGACCCTGTGCTTTAGAAAGTGAAGTTCTACCCTTAAGCGACAAATCCTGGTGTAACCACATATTTACAGTGCATCCGGAAAGTATTCATAGCGCTTCACTTTTTCCATTTTTTTTTTTTTTTTTTTTGTACAGCCTTATTCCAAAATGGATAAAGTTAATTTATTTCTTCAAGATTCTACACACAATACCCCATAATGGCAATGAGTGTAAAACATCTTACACATACCTTAGGAACGGTATTGCAGAAAATTTTGACTGTTTTAAAACCTTGACTTTTCCAAACCGTGGTATACCTTGAAAATGGTTATCATCCCAGGCTTAGGTCTGATTAATCAATAATATTTAACACCAATCTAATATTATTAGAAATATTTGTAGAAATAAGTGGCATCAACGCAGCATAAATAGGGACAACATTTCTAACCAGTATGCACTGCTTTTAAGACAGATTCTGATTGATCTGCGCAGCGCTGCATAAAGTCGTACGCACCTAATGACTTTGTTCACTATAATCTTCCACTTCAGATCAGGGTTGACATTAACTACAGGCTTAGTCTTAGGACCAGTGCTGTTGAAAAAGCTCTTGCATTCCATTTATGAATTTGTGGAATGAAGATGAAAAAAGGTCTCAGGGGATTGGAATGACATGAGGGCAAGAAATTAATAACAGAATTTACATTTTTTGGTTGAACTAGCCATTTAACCTATATTAGGTTATGTACTTCAAAATCCATAATAATTTTCTTTATTCTGATTTTAATTCAGGAGTGCCTGCTCCGACAACCTCTAATCCATTCCAAAATGAAGCACCCCGCCTGACGCTTAATCAGATGCGTCCCAGCTCCACGTCTCCCGCACCCTCATCACTTCCATTCAATGCGTCTCTGGCCATGGCATCCAGCCAGCAGCCCAGCTCTTTGCCCAACACCTTCACACAGTCTGCACAGGTGATGCCGCTGATCCCTGGACCCCTACCGCAACCACTGCTACCACTGTCCAGCAAAACCATGCTTGCAGATCCAGATACACACAATCAGAACCCGTTCCTCTGAAAGACTACATCCAAAAAAGGACTGTTTAACTACCGAATGACTTAAAACTGGAACACATTTTTAATGGCTTTGCTCATTTCACAGCCTAAAGGTTTTGCTCTATGCAGTTGCTCTCAAGAGGCATTCACACATACATTGTTTTTTAATTTACAAATATACTTATTTTTAATAACAACGACCACTGGTAATGCTTTGTGGTTGTATCAAGTGGTTAATTTGAATGTTATATAAATGATCAGTTATGCAACGCACACATGCACAGTAGCAAACACATGATCTAGCATGTTCACCTGTATAGTTGGCCTAAAAAAAACATCAACATGGGGCAGACAAGTAATAAAGCCAACAGCTACACGTTACGTTAGAGCTGTGGCAAAAAAAATAGTGCAAGAAATCTATTCAGCTTTGATTCTGAGCTTAGTTATTAACAGCAGATGGTGCTCTAGACCAGTGTTTCTCAACCACGTTCCTGGAGGACCACCAACACTGTATGTTTTGGATGTCTCCTTTGTCTGTCACTCATTACAGGTCCTTCAGTCTCTGCTAATGAGCTTATGATCAGGATCAGGTGTGTTTGGTTAAAGAGACGTAGAAAATGTGCAGAGCTGGTGGTCCTCCAGGAATGTGTTTAAGAAGCACTGCTCTAGGCTTTTCTTTAACAGCAGATGGTGCTCTAGGCCAGTGTTTCTCAGCCACGTTCCTGAAAGACCACCAACAACACTGCATGTTTTGGATGTCTCCTTGGTCTCTCACACTCATTACTGGTCTTTCAGCCTCTGCTAATGAGCTTATGATCAGAATCAAGTGTGTTTGGTTAAGGAGATGTAGGAAATGTGCAGCGCTGCTGGTCCTCCAAGAACGTGGTTGAACAACTCTGCTCCAGGCTTGTTTTCAACAGCAGAATTCACTCAAGGTTTTTTTAACAGCAGATGGCGCTCTAGGGTGGTTTTCAACAGCAGATGGTGCTCTAGGCTATTTTATTTAACTGCAGATGGTGCTCTAGGCTGGTTTTTTACCATGCACTCAAATAATCAAGAGGAAGAGCTCGGAGTCATGGAAATTGTTTTTTAGATCTCAAAATTAATGCAACAACAGCTTACTGTGAACACTGAATAATTTGTGTAAACATTTCCTAAGCTTATTAATGATTAATTTAGGTTCAAGCTTTATGCGTAAGAAATTGGATGCATCTGCTGTTAAAAATTAGACTCAGAAGCAATGTTGAAATTGTCAGAATCAATGCAGGATTGATTTCTTGAACAGTGCTATATTGCCCATACATTCTGCATTCTTCAGAGATGAAGTCAATCTCAATCTATTAGGCATTCATAACAGAAAACTCAAAGAGCTTTAACTGCAGGAACACACTTGAAAATGGCAGAGGGAAAGTGCTGAAAGAAGTTCACAAATGTCTAAAAGCAAAGTGGAACACCGACAATGTTTGCCCTCTTCATTTGTTTTTATTTGCTTTTTTCTCCCCTTACATTTTTCTTCTTTTGCTTAGATGAAATGTTGTTTGTTCATTATTGTTGTTGAAGTTCATTAAACTTGTTTAGTCAGTTTAAAAACCACAAATGTTTGGGACAAAACAGCTTTATAGTAATAAATAGAAAAAGTAACAAGTGGAAAAGGGGCTCTATGCACAGGGTGTGCCCAAACCCGCCAAGAAAACTTATAGTGAAAGCGATGGCCTGACCATCTTCCATTTCATGTGTTCCATTGAACAGCAACAATAGTATAATATAATCACAATCCAGTCAGTTAAATAGACCCAAGTATTTATTTAGTTGTTCAAGCATAATGAGACAGAAATACATTTAAATTTAGGCACCATATGAATGAAGCACGTTTCCATGTAGTGAGTCAAAGAGAACAAAATAATCACTTTCTGATAAACCGCCTCCAAATATCGAAAAGAAGAAATGCAATTGTAATGTAAATGTATTTTATATAGAATAAACAGTGGACCTTTTTATATATAGAATAAATTACTTGTGCCTCAGAAGATGAAGACGGAAATCAATAAATGTGCGGTGGCTTTGGGAGTTGGTAATTTAGGGAGGTTATACTACGAACCACTTTGATGATGAACTCTGGCTAAGGGATTTTAAATGACCAAAACCACATCTCAGCTATTTTACAATGTGGTACACAAAATCACGACTTTTTGATGAGCATGCTAGAATTTATTTGGTAAATTTGGTACCATCATTGTGTGCAATTTTTTTCTTGTCAAATTAAATTAATCTCCTAAGTAGATCCTAAACCTACGTTTTCAAAATGTATGCACATCTTGGCATTTCCATTAAGCATTTTTATAATGCAAAAAAAGTAGCAGATGAAAAATTCACAGCTTAGTTTGTCTGCACATAAAAATTAAAATTGAATGCAAAGCTTTTCACTGACACTACTAACTAGCCTAGCTAGCAATAAGAATGTCCACTCTGGAGTATGTGTGAATCACTGTATGTGTGAATGACCTCCAACTGTAATAAAATGTGTGAATGTCAACTAGGCATAAACATGGCAATACAGATGCTGGCTTTATAAGAAATTACAAATAAATGGCACAGGTTAAAATTATGAATATTTAATCCAAGTATTACAATAGTTTGGATAAGAAGCTCTTATTACTTGTTCCAAAAAGCCCACTGCATAACCCAAGCACAATTCCAAAGCCTCATAGATTTTTATCATAATCTTGGATTCCTCACACCAGTTTCTAGCTCTGCTTTAGTGGTATTTTATTAGCCTGGAGTATCTGATGACTTTCAATGCAATCCTTTTATTTACTTGACATGACTGGTATCTGTGAACACTGAAGGCATCCGATGGGTCACTGGCTCCAGTATGAAATGACAGGGACTTTGGGGCCAATAATTTAAGTATGATTTTATAATATTGGGCATTGACTGTTGAATGACTAGTCCTCCAGCAAGAGAATGTACTCACTGTGGTGTTCAAAATGAGTTGATGCCACATACTAACAGAATGCAAGTACGTGAGACAATTGCACGTTGCTTATCAAATACAAAGATGGAGATGAAACTAAAAAGTGTGGCTTGTTGTTATTTTCATGTTTAGTAAATCATTCTCTCCACGCCTTGTCATTTCTTGCATGATTTCCAACATTTTAGATCTTTATTTCTTTGGAATTTCAAAAAATGAGAAATTCAGTGCAGGAAATAAAAACAGTGCCACATTGACAAAAAAAAAGGCAAAAAGTCACATAACGTTGTGGCCAATTTGTATGTCTACGAAAAACTAAAATAACTATAATCACAGTACACTCTCAGAAATAAAGGTACAGGGGCTGTCGCGGTACCTTTTCAAAAGGTACATATTTGTACCTAAAGGGTCCACATTGGTACCTCAAAAGTACTTTTTAGGTACATTTGGGTACTAATATGCACCTTTGAGGTACCGCTCTTTCGATACAAATATGTATCTTTTGAAAAGGTACTGGTATACAACACTGACTGTAGGTGTTGAGATTAAGGACAAAATTAGTGGATTTGACCAGGTTTACTTCATCACCCACTTGCAGATACTATGGACTGATCAAAAGACAGAACAAGGTTTGGGTGGAGCATAACCAGAACTATTAGACCTCCCTCTGGGCAGCTCACCAAATGTGCTTGCTTTTTGCTCAATCAGATTATGTTAAGGCAAACCTACACTGTTAAAAATTGTCCCGTTAAAAAACAGTAAAATACTGGCAGCAGCAGTTGCCAGCAATGTACTGTTATTTTACAGTGTGTTGCTGTAAAAATACATGGACTACATTGATTTACACAATACTCAAGTTGACTCATTTTGCTCACTGAAAGCAACTGCCTCAACTTGGTCAACTGCTGAATGAGTTTATGAAGTAACGTGCTATATATGCTTAGAAGCATACTTATAATGATAACTTATTTTAGTTAATTAGAAAAGTTCAGTTTAACTCTAATGTCTTATTTTTCACAACAGCACACATACATGTAAATCTGGAATCACCAGAGAGATTCTGACTTCATCAGTAACTAAACAGCCGCTATCTTTAAATAGAGAAACATGCAGAGTAACATCAGCAGTTCATTGTTCATCTTTAACTCATACACTGGCTCTACTCTCCTCCACAACGGTGACAGACAGAAGAAATTAGCTTCAGGTTTTACAGTAAAATACTGTTTTTTCCTTGATTTAACAGTAATCTACTGGCAGCTGTGGTTGCCAGCAATATACTGTTTTTTTACAGTCTACTTCCGTTGTGTAAATTAACAGTATATTACTGTTAAAATACAGTTTTACACTGTGTTTTTACCTCTCACACCTTTAACCCTTTAAACCCCAGAGCATATACTTCAGTTTTAACTGAAGTGTCCACACTACTGAGTGTTCAAGAAACATGGAGCAAAGCTGAAGTAAATTCATTAATTAACTGACTAATTAAATGATAATTGAGGATTAACAATGACTAAATGAAGAAATACTGAAGGGAAAAAACAAGAACAGAACATACAAAACTTTAGTCACAGCTTTATAATGAAATAACCTGAAGAACAACAAATGATTAAATCATTTAAATGATCAGCGGATGATTAAACAACTCTACAAACATCATCACCAGCTACACTTATTACTTAATACATTTATTTTTGTATAACATTTACTAAAGTTCTTCTTAAGAAAAAGTTAAAGTTTTACATCACCATCATGGAGAACAGAGTTTGCTTTAGTTGGGGTCTTAGCCCTGTCATTTATAACATTTATATAATTTGGCTGCTGCAATTGTTAAGAACTTTGTTTAAAAAGCTCCTTTGTTGTGGCAAGCCAGCCAAAAACCTAAATAAGATCTGGTGATGTTCATGTTGCTATTAAATGGCAGAGTCTGTTCTCATTTTGTATAATAAAATGTACTGCTCCTATTCAATGTTAAATCTACTGTTTTACATTATATGTCTATATATGGCAATGATTTCTGGAAGTTTTTAAGAATATCTTGGACAATAACACTGCTCTATGGTGTAGATCGCACTCAAAGAGACATCAATAATCAGCATATGAACCTCAATAATGGTGACAACTAACAAAATTAACAGTTTAACTTACAAACAGGCAACTGAAAGTCTAAACATAAACAACAGCAGAATCAAACACAAATAAAGAAAACTGTTAGACCGTTATACAACATTTATTTATACCGCAATGCATGCTGGGATATTTGTAAAGTGCAACTCCCAGCATGCATTGCAGCATGAAACATTTGAGATGTTACCATTGTTGATATACAAGGTCAGATTCATGAGGTCTGAGTGTGTATTTGTCATAACTGAACTGTTTTTGTATGTTATTTCTTAACTGTTAGGTAATTACGGAGGTATCTTTTCTGTTTCCACT